TGCTGACGACATCAAGCGACGCCGACTAAAGAATGCTGCCGGAACACGTCTGATGCTTACAGCTGACCAAACTCCCTGTCGACTGCAAAGTGTGTGCGATTAAAAATGATATATGTTGTCCTCCCTTACTCCCATCATTGTTAGTCCCGTGAAACACATGAGTAACTGTAAATCGCTCAGAGCCGGCAGCTCTGCAAGGATTGAGCAATCAATAAATTGAAATTGAAAGATTAACCCATCTCCCCAAAATCACAGATCATTAAAGAAATCCCCTCCAGGGGCTAAAAAAAAAAACAAAAAAAAAGAAAAGAAAATGTTCAGCGAAGGCGCATCCACCACCTCCCGAGGCAGACTGTTCCACTGCTCAACCACTCTGACAGTTAGGAAGTTTCTCCTGATATTTAGCTGGTAACGACTCCCTTGTAATTTCCACCCATTAGATCTAGTCTTGCAATCCAGAGCAAGAGAGAATAGATCTGCCCCATCTTCTACATGACAGCCCTTCAAATACTTGAAGACTGCAATCATGTCCCCTCTAAGCCTTCTCTTTCCCAGGCTAAACATACCCAACTCTTTCAGACTTTCCTCATAAGACTTGGACTCCAACCCTCTCACCATCCTGGTTGCCCTCTTCTGGACACGCTCGAGCTTGTCAACATCCTTCCTAAAATGTGGTGCCCAAAACTGGACGCAGGACTCCAGGTGAGGCCTGACCATAGCAGAATATAGGGGAACTACCACCTCCCATGATCTGGACACAATGCTTCTGTGAATGCATCCTAAGATTGCATTCGCTTTCTTCACAGCCACATCACACTGCAGGCTCATGTTGAGGTCAAATCAGTAAACCATGCATTCTCCTCCGGAACTGCCCCCTCAGGCTCACCTGTCAGAACAGATTACCCACTCACCAGAACTCTGCTCAGCAAGTCCATCACCTTGCCGAGGCCCTGCTCCACCCAGCAACACCAGCAAGCACCACAGAGCTCCACAGCTGCGACTGGTCCTTCTGGAGAGGTCTCCGGGAGCCAGAGGCCAGCCCCATCGTCCATAGAGCTCCCCTGCTCTTTTGCCAAGACTCCCTTTGTTAATGTTTTGCTACGTGAGAAATTGCAAGCTGGCCACCTGACAGGTGGAATGGGTGTGCCAAGCCAAAAGGCTAAGAGGCCAAAACAGGTTGGGCAGGAAATACTCTTTATTAGTTCCAAATAAAGCAAAGAACATTTCTCCTCCCCGCCCGCCCGCCCCGATCTCACATTTTGGAATGCAATCAAGGCCTTCCTGTGATGAAACTTCCACTTTAATTTGAAAGTTAAAGAATCCAGCCTATTTGATATCTGGGAGAGTAAAGCTGGCAGGGAAGAGAAGCAGTTGCCCTTTAATCCAAGGAGCAACGGAAGGGGGAAAGTTGACTGAGTTAAACAAGGCCGGGGGGAAGGATCCTTTTAAATGCCCAGCAGCACTGTCCTAAGCAGAACCAGAAGTACACCCTTCTAAATTCATTGGGCTCAAAAAGGGGTAACTCTGCTTTGTTTGCACTGCAAGTCAATGTCTAGAATAACCTTATTGATTTCTGCAGCGTCTACTGTATCAACTGTCAAAAACAGGAAGGGAAAATGACTAAGAATCATTCAGCTTCATGTTTATCATCTTTTTTGCTCACACACCCCAGAACAAAGATATGAAACCTCAAAACGTGCATTCAGCTAGGTGAAAAGTACTGGGTTCGCCGCATGGAGGACTCGGACGACGACATGAGTTGCACACGTTTACTGTACTTAACATGAGACTAACTAACGGCCCGACAAGGCCAATTATATACATACCCACCTAGCACCCCCTAGTCCCATTGGAAGATTTGAATTTCCTGCCAAAGTGGCTATTGGTTGGTGCTGGGGGAACTAGGATCCTATTTTCCTATTGTTCCAGGGAGCCAAGCTCCTGCCTGTGCCGCGGACCCCTAGTGGCGGTCCGCATACATAATACTAGGTATGATTTATAGGCAATCTGTATCATTAAATCACATATCCTCAATGTTAGTGCAGGTTTATTTATTTAGTACATTCTAGCCGTTCCTTCCTCTGAGGAGTTCAGGATGGTGTGGAGGGGGAGGTATTTGTGAATTTCCTGCATTATGCAGGGGGCTGGACTAGATTACCCTGGAGGTTCTATGATTCTTCCTTCTCCATTTTATCCTGACAATAACCCAGTGAGGTAGGTTAGGCTGAGAGTGTGTGACTGGCCAAAGGTTGCCCAACAGACTTCCATGGCAGAGCAGGGATGTAAACTTGCGTCTCCCAGATCCCACTCTAACCCCCACACCTGGCTGGGTTGCCGCTAAGGAGCAACTCTGGGCAAATCCACCCTGGCTCCAGAAGCAGCAGCTCGAGCTACCAGCTTCATCGTCTTCTAGCCCGTACCAAAAAACTGTGCTGAGAGGAGCCCCCCACATGCTGTACATGCTGCTCAGGACCCAGGGGGTACCTCCCCCCACCTCCTCCCCAGACTCACAAGGCCACACAGGTTCCAGCCTGGGGAAACTGCTGTCGTCATCAGGAGGCTTGCCCATCCGCTTTCCCAACATGCCGGAGGCACACACCATCCCTGCCACGGGGACCAGAGGCTGCCTGAGGAACCAGCAGGGATCGTCTGCTCCGTTCCTTCACTTATTTGGGGCTAAATATACTCCCCATGCCCACTTGGTGGGGAACAGGCTTCTCACATACTGTTTAAGAAAACAATTTACCCTTATTATATCTCTTATGCCCAAGAAGAAGAAGAGATTGGATTTATACCCCGCCTTTCACTACTCGAAGGAGTCTCAGAGCAGCTTACAAACTCCTTTCCCTTCCCCTCCCCGCAACAGACACCCTGTGGGCAATGCTCCTTCTAAGCTGTGGAGTCTTGTGAGCAAAAAGTCTACTTTGGGAGCTCCTGGCATTAAAGGTGTGAGTGAGCCATTTGGCTACGGCATATATTAGTTTGCTCTGGAGCCAATTAGTTTGCTCCTGAGCTGAGACAGAAATGTGTGAGCCAGAGGCTAAAAAACTGTGAGCTAGCTCTCATCAACTCAGCTTAGGGGGAACACTGCCTGTGGGGTAGGTGGGGCTGAGAGAGCTCTCTTGAGAACTGCCTTTGAGAGAACAGCTCTGAAAGAACTTATGACTGACCCAAGGTCACACCAGCAGCCGCATGTGGAGGAGTGGGGAACCAAACCCGGTTCTCCTAGATTAGAGTCCGCGCTCCTGACCACTATATCAAACTGGCTCTCCAACAACACAAACTGTTCCCACTGCACATTTTTTCACTACTACACACAGTGGCTTTGATCCAGCCATATGCTGACAGAAACATAAATGGACTCAGAGCAGTTTTGCTTGTGCTTGATTGCACAACACCCAGAGCTTTCCTCCCTATATATTATTGTGGCCAGAAACTGATTTCACAAAATCTTACAGAAACAGACACACAAGTTTTTGCTGGCGCAGAAATTTTGCACTGGATGCAACCCAGCATGGAGCATATTTGAATAAAGTCTGGTTGCTTGCAAAACAGCCCATTCATTGAGATAATCCTCCAAAGACCTAGCAGAGGCAGGTGGCTTCCAGGTACAAGGCCTTCTCAGTGGTAGCCCTCCTGGTTATGTATTTATTGTCATTTATTTCTCAATATATGTATATTTCCTCTCTTTCAAACTATTCAAGTAATCAAAATGGCTCATGCATTAAAACAATACTGTAACCCCCATCAAATATCCATGTCTTCTTAGTTAGCACAGCTGCACAATTCATGCACAGGCTATTCCTCTCAGGCATGCAAAGTAAGCATGCATAACTATTTTGCACGACTGCAACAAAATTTAAATGAGACCCTCAGCTCATGCAAATTTGCCCCATAGCAATGCGCCCCATTCAAATGACCTCCTCTCCAAATCCAAACGTCTGTGCTTCTCCAGTGTTGAAACCTTGTCAATATAGCCCACTCCTCTGCTAGCCAAGCATTAAGAGAAAACGGGTACAAGATGGTTTACTGATGGCACGTCACTGTAGGTTATATTTACTTACTTACTTACTTACTTACTTCATTTGATTTATACTCCGCCTTCCTCGCCGAAGCAGGCTCAGGGCGACTTACAAAGGATAAAACATGAGAATAATCTCTCCTTATTATAAAAGAGTTTTGGTGTCCCTCCTGCACACGCTCCTGCAGCCTTTCGCTCTCGCACCTGCCAGTCTGAAGGATCCCCTGGCTGCACTGGCTGGCTCCCTTGCCTCCGTCCTGCCCACAGAGGTGTCAAGCCTGCCGGCGGTGTCTCTGGCTCACTGTGCTCTGAGCCAGCCGAGGGGACGGGTGCTCCGGCAGACGGAGGGTGAGCGGGTCCACTGGGAGAAACGGAGAAGAGGCGCAAGAGCCCACACACGTTCTGAAATGCCATGGTCGAGGTGGGGGCAGGGCGGCAACTGCTGCTGTGGCAAGAGTCCACCCCTCCGCCGGCAGCCCTGTCATCGTCGTCCGGCCCAGCTGAGGTGGCTCTGACGCAGTTCCACGTTATGCCCTGCCGCCACCACACTGAGAGGCCTCCCTGATGCGGGCCCGCCGCCGTGCCAACACCCTCCTCCTCTCCGACCCCGGCGGCGGGAGCTGGGACACAGGCACTGGCAGAGCAGCTGTGCTCTACCCGCCGCTGTGCCCTGTGGACGAGGCCACAGCTGCCCCTTCTTCTCCCAAGGGGTGGCCTGGCAGGCAGCAGCCCAGCTAGAGCTTGTTGTATTTGTCTCTGCAACGGGCCTTCTTCCTAGTTATAACATAAATAAAACCATCTGAAACAGTCTAATTTAAATACACACATCTGTATATATGAGGAGCCTTACTTTCTGGATATAAAGATGACTGTATACCCATATAAATTTATTGCTAAGATGGATAAGAAATACAAAGGGGCCTGCTAGAAATGTAAAAAAGAAGATGGCACATTTTATCATATGAGGGGTGTAATGTATTCAATAGCTGCCACTGAAAGCTATGTGAACAACATAATTGAAATACTATGTTAAGCTTCGTCCTGGGCTAGGATCCAAAAACATCCAATCACATTGCTAGCCCAAGAAGAACCTAACCAATCACTTCTCAGCAAGCTCCCTGAGCGGGAACGTCCATGATTGGTCCTTATGTATGCAACCTTATTGGTTGGTAAATGTACAGTAGCCGTGGCTACATTAACCAGGAGAGTTTAAAAGCAGGACAGCTGCAATGTAAAAGCTGTTCTGGCTATCAGATGTTGATCCGTGTTGGAGTTGTGTTCGAATTGATGAATAAAGCTGAATCTTTGCTGAATCACTCTCCGACTACTTTGTTAAGCAAGCGACAACAAGGGGGACCTGCATCAAGACAAAAAGATACTGGGAAGATATGCATGAAGAAATTCAAAATATTCTAAAAACTAAATTCCTGATGAAACCAGATATTATGTTAACTGGGAATCCTACCAGATCTGTCTATGTCTTGTGAAGTTCTTGTGAAGTTCTAAGACCTACGGCAGCCAGAGTAATATTTGCAATGAAATGGAAGACAGAAGACTGTCCTACAATACAGACGTGGAAAGAAAAACTAGCTGAGGATGCAACATTAGCAAAACTAACCAATTGTATAAACAAAAGACCACTGAAAGAATTTCAGCAGAAATGGCAAGCTTATTACTCAGACTATGGGATTAGTTTTTTTAAAATTCTGGAATAATCTGAATATCATATTAAAGGTGATGAAGGTATTGATTATAGTTCCAATACTTGATTCTGTATTTCACTAGTAATTAAATAATGAGTAACAATATAATTTAGATTTAGATAAACAATTTTAGCATAGAAGTTTGTTCAATTGTTAAAGATGTAATTTCTTTTATAATTAATAAATTATCGCTAACCTTAGGAAAGTTCTTATTTATTCTTCTGTATTTGAAATATGTAATATATTTGGTAATATATCTGATTTTACTTGTACGTAACAACTTATATTATTTGACAAAACCCCCAATCCCCTTTTCCCTTCTGTATCTCACC